CGGTGACAATGAGCTAGCAAATGCTTTGCCCCAGTGACAAAGTGGTTTCCCACCCTGGAGCTGGGGGAACTAGAGGCTTTGGTCTGGGTCATGTCAGTCACGGGAGCCCTCTCCTGAAGCAGCAGGAGCAGCAGCAGCAGCAGGGTGAGGAAGCAGTCTCTTTTTCCTCAGCGAGGAGCCTGGGTTGGCTCCCTCCGGCCGCCGGGCATGATGGAAGTTTTTGCTTGTTGATTTGAGAGAGAACTGCCTGGACACCCCAGACAGCAGGCGGCAAGGCCAGCTTTGCCCCTCGGGCCTGAAGCCTGGAATCCGTCTGTCTCTCGAGCTGCCTGACTCCATGCTGAGCTGAGGAGGACAGGCCAGGGCCAGAGGTCATCTGTGGAGAGATTCAGGGCGAGGCAGGAGCCTGACTCGGCCAGGCCATGGCTCCTGGACTAGCCCCACGATCTCCTCACTCACGGAGTTCTCTGTGGGTCTCCTCCCTTGGGCTTGCCCCTCTCACTGTGCAGGACTCAGATTCTTCCCGAAGACCCTGCAGCCTCACACCTACTTGTGCCCGTTTTCACTACCCGCTTCATGGGTACAGTCACATCCCAGAGATGCTCGCAGGCATGCAAGCATTTATGGAAACATGGAATGAAAAGAGAATGGAGTTTTACCACCGACTTTCTGAAGCCTCCTCGTATTTAGCCCCTGGGGCCCCCGGTAACCAACCCTGATTACAACTGTTCCTTTCAAGACCCAGACTGAAGTTAGCTTGCTTGGGGCTGACTCTGACTCACAGCGTGAACCCCGTATGTGTCAGAGGAACCCTGTGTGCCGAGGGCTTGCACAGCCTGGTTGCTTCCAAGCCCATCGGCAGGCCTTTCTTCCAAGTTTCCCCTGGTTCGTCTTGAACCTCCCACCTTTTGGTTTAGCAGTGTTTGTACTACCCAGGGATCCCCAAGTTGCTATCAGTGGACCTGGAGGTTTGGGGGCATGGTTCCTAAGTCAGTCAACCCATTGTGTGCCTGGCCCCCCCCACCCACTTGTCCTCTCAAGTAGCCCCCCAACTCATGTGCAGCAGAAGGAAATGGCACGTGGCCCTGTGCTATCTTTGTGAGCCTGGGTGTGTTGGACTGAGTCCAAGCCAGCAGCTGGTGTGTCAACCCATCTCCTGGAGGGTTCCTCTTGCTTTCACGAATTTTACCCATGATGCCCTTTCTAGTGACTGTATGTTGACAGTATGAAAATAAACAATAGCAATGACTGGGCACGGGTGATGTGCCTTTTCAGAAAGCTTCACGGTATGTGTTCAACCATAATCACTTTGTTGTCTGTGGTGCTGAGTCCATGCTGACTCAGAGCGAGCCCATGTTCAACAGGACAGAAGGCCACCCAGCCCTGTGCCATCCTCACAACTGCTGCTGTCTGAGTCCACTGTTGGCCACGGTGTCGATAGTCATCCTGACCATTATTATCATTACCACACACGAACTTATCACCACGCCCTATCATTTATATAAAAATACATAACCATTGTTGACATGGACCACCTGGAGCAGCGGCTCTCAACCTGTGGGCCGCAACCCCTTTGGGGGTCGCAAAACCCTTCACAGGGGTCGCCCGATTCATAAGAGTAGAAGTATTACAGTGATGAAGTAGCAACAAAAATAATTTTATGGTTGGGGGGACACCACAACATGAGGAACTGTATGAAGGGTGGTGGCGTTACGAAGGTTGAGAACCACCGGTCTATAGTGTGTCTGTCATGATGGATATTATTTATTATTAGCTGTGCTGTTATTATTGTGCTGGTAGCTCATGTGGATCGAGTGGGAGACCCATCGGAGGCCTCCCACAGTCTGTGGTTTGTAGGACTGGGACTAATTCAAGGAGTTCTGCGAAGTCCCCCCGAGCTTGGGGAAGAACAGTACATGAGTATCCAAGGAACTTGATGAGCCAGCGGTCCTTGTCTCCCCAATCTCACTTACCTTCTCCCCCTCATGTCAGTGATGAACTACATGTTGACTAACTAACTAACACTGAACTTGAGACCAAAAGAACTAGATGGTGCCCCACCACAATGCTGATTGGTTTGAAAAGGATCACAATAAGAAGTCCTGGATAGAGTTGGAGAAAAATGTGATACAAAACTCAAAATAGTGAAAAAACCCAGGCTTACTGAGACTATAGCCCTTTGATAGCCTTCAACCCTGGAATTGAACTTACCCAGTGGCTCAACTTTCAGATCTACAGCTAAATAATAAAAACGGGGGAGGTAGGCACTCCTTCGAACAGTCCACCACAAGAGACAAAAAGGGCAGCATTTTCCCAGGGAGAAAGTTCAAAAGGTAGGAAGGGCCAGGAAAGAAAGGAATAGAAACAGGAAACCCAGGGAGGAAGGGGAAGACGGCTGTTAGATTATGTGGACAGCAATCAATGTCACGAAACAAAACCTGTGTCAATTATGGGATACAGGGCCATTTTCTCTGCAAACTGTCAGTCAAATCACACTAAAAGGTTAAAAAACAAAACAAAACCCCCACCATTGCCTTCCAAAACAACAAACAGAAATCAAACTCACTGCCATTGAGTTGCCGACCCACAGCGACTCTCCAGTGGATCCCGGCTCAAAGGCCAGAGTAGAGCCGCCCCCACAGGGTTTCTCAGGCGGTTGAGCTTTATGGCAGCTGACTGCACATCTCCCTCCCTTGGGGCAGCTGCTGGGTTGCGACTTCTGGCATTTGGATCAGCAGCTGAGTGCTTCGCCGCCGCACCATCAAGGCTCCTCATAGCCTCTCTGGGGCTTGTAAAAGCACTGAAGCCCGATTCCCACCCCACCACCAGCAGCATGGTTTCAGGAGTTGTGTCCAGGCTCCCTATGGCTCTCCTGTCCATGTGGACAATGGCTTTCGTGGCCTGATGAGTGGCACACACTTTAGCTGCCCAACCCGGCTCCCTCTGGGTAGTGGACAGCCCTTCTGCCTGGGTCTCTGAGCCTGACCCAGGCTTAAAAGTGCCTATGGTTGCTGGGTGGGCAGTCTGAACACTGTGAGTTTGACGAGATCCCCCAGTTGACCTGAAGTGGCTCCAGGTACTTCCTCTGGCCAGTGGGAACGCCGTCTGCTGCTCTCCCTGATGCTTGATACCATCACCCCTCGCTTCCTGGGCCAGGCTGATGAGCACCCAGGGTGGTTGCAGCTGATGAAAGACGGGTGAAGACATCCTGAGGGGGCTGACCTCCAGGATGGGGCACTTGGTGGGGCAGAGCCCAGGGAACCAGTCAGCAGGTTGGAGGACACACACGCACACAGCGATTCCATTGCCATGGCCTGCCTTGTCACACACGTGTGTACAAGTGAACACGGAGGGGAGGGGTTTCTAGGGAAGTCGGCCCCCCAGATCAACCAAATTGGACAAAACAAAAACCCATTCCACCAAGTTGATTCTGAGTCCTAGCCACCCTCAGGATTGGGCAGAGCTGCCCCGCCCTCCCCCCTGGGGTTTCGAAGGCTGTCATCTTTGTGGGGACAGTCAGCCTCATCCTTCTCCGTGGAGCAGCCAGGGGGCTGCAACTGCAGCCAAGTGCCTGACCACTGGGTCACCAGGGCTCCTTGAAGTGGAGACACCATTGCTCTCAGGTCGATTCTGACTGCCAGCATCCCTACAGGACAGATCACTGCGCCAGAGGGTCTCCAAGGCTGGGAATCTCTAAGGAAGCAGACTGCCTCTTCTTTGTCCCTCCGAGGGGCTGGTGGGCTCAAACCACCGGCTTTTCTGTTGGCAGTCCAACGCTTAAGCCACCAGAGAAGGAGGCAGAAGGGACTAAAGGTGAGGGGTCTGGTCAAGTGGAATGGAGACCTGCTGGTGCAATGCTCTGTCTTATCAGGTCACTATCAGAATCAATGTGGCCATAATAGGTGTTTCCTTTAGAAACGGAGAATGGGTTTAAGTGGTCAGTGTGTGTGTGTGTATGTGTGTGTGTGTGTGTAGCCCTGGTGGTGCTATGGGTTAGGCACTGGGCTGCTAACCACAAGGTCAGCAGTTCAAGCCCACTAGGCCCCTTGAGGGAGAAAGATGTGGCTGTCTGCATTGGAAAGATTTATAGTCTCAGAAACCCTAAGGAGGAGTTCTCTTCTCCCCTACGAGTCAGGTTTGACTAGAGAGCAAGTGTGTGTATAGAGACAGAGATGGAGAAGAGTCAAAGAAAAGTTGAAGTCAATATGAAATGCTAGCACATTATCTGGGGATACGTCTCCAAGGACCCTGAACTGTTCTTGCAGCTCTGTAGCTAACCGAAAACCAGTGGTTCACGTCCACTGCAAGGTGCCTCAGAAAAAAGGCCTGTATGTCACAGAAACCAGCCCCCTAAGACCCCATGGAGCACAGCTCTATGCTGGCACACCCAGGGGTGCTGTGCGTTGGAGTCCACTGGATGGTAACTGGTTTTTCTGACTCTCACAACATTTTTAAAAGCTGGAAATTATCAAAATTTAGCATGAAGCAAACATCACTTAAAAGAATGGAACCACGCGCCATCCTTAGATCTCCCAGGCAGCCTCCGCCACCCTCCCGGCCTGTGTCCTGGAGGAAGGGCCAATCCAGGAAGTGAGAGAGGGCTGCCTGGGCAACCCCGTGCCTCAGCCACAGCCATGCCTGGGACCCTGCTGTCCGTCAAGAGCAGCTTCGCTTCAAAGAACTTCCCGCCTGCACTGAAAGCCTCTGGGACTGAAGTTCAAAGCCAGTTTGGGGACACGGGTGTGGGGCCTGTGTTTGGCCTGGGGATTTGTGCAGATTAGCAGAGCCCAATGTTCCAGGCAGTGGGGGGTTCGGGCCTCAGGTGCGAAGAAGCCTTTGATGACCCTGAGCTTGTTACCAGCCCCAACAGTGACCATCTGCCAGCTGGGCTGCCCAGGAGGGGGCCGGGCTGTCAGCCCTTTCTTCCCAGGTTTAGGAAAACAAACACTTGATATTCCAGAGGCTGAGTAAACTCATTAAGAGCATCTTGGATGTCCTACCTTTTCAGTGGAGCACTTGGACGCTGCCCGGGCTAGTCTGGGGGGCTGGGGATGGACAGCTTCGGTGCGGTGCGACAGCAGGCTCAGATGTGAAGCACTACAATGAAACACGGATTGCAACAGACTGAGTCACAGCTCCCGAGAAGAGTATGTTGACAAGCTGATTTAGACTCCTCAAAGGGGCCCTGCTGGTGCTGTGCATGAGGCATTAGGATGCTACCTCAAAGTCAGCAGTTCAAACACGGCATCTGCTGTGTGGGAGAAAGACGAGGCTGTCTGTCCCCTTAGAGACAGAGAGTCTTGGAAACCCTGCATACAGACGCTGTCAATCAGAACCCACTCCATGGCAGTGGTGGGCTTTTCTGAGGAGTGCGCAATAGCATTATGAAAAAGTGTGAAATCTTTGTGAGAAAGGTCAACAGGGGCCACAGAGACGGGAATGAGCGCACATGGTTGGGAAAATGGCGTGGGCAGACTTGCTTGCTGCAGGGATACCATCAACTTTCCATTTGTTGAACAAAAACCTATCATCCCCACACAGTCTCTATGAGGCGTGACTGTGTAGCACTCTGATCTTCTGAGAAAACAGGCTTTGAGACTTGTGGACTCGCTCTGAACGCCTCCCGTTCCAGGAATGCCGGGATCTCCCGCACTTGTTGAGCGCAAGCCAAGAGCAAACCACAGTGTGCAGGGACACAGCATGGACTGGCCAAGACAGGCTCACAAGAAGTGGCAGTTATATGTCTGGGTTTCTGGCCACCACCACCCCTGTTGTAAAACAGTCGCCCACCCCCTGCCAGGGAAACTTGTCTCCAGACAGTTTCTGGCTCCAAGGTTGGGTTAGAGGATTTGGGAATGAGATTAGGATAAAAGGCCACTGTATGCCAGGGAGGAGGGCAGGGCAGGAAGGAGCCAGAGCAGGAAGGCGAGGTTGGTCTGGACCAGGATGATGGTCACAGGGACCCCCTGGTTCCCCACCCCACCTCTACCTGCAGGCAGGGTTCAGGTTTTGCAGTCCCCTGGCCTGTGGTTAACCGAGCTAGCCCCACCACTCACTAGCTGCACGAGTCCCTTCACCTGCCTGAGAAGCAGGACTGTGAAAGGGTTTGGATAGGTAGGCACCTGTGGATGGGACACTCTGAGTGCTGCCAACATCCCTGGAGGGCTGGCAAAAACCAGAGCAGGCCTCCATGAGACGGGCAGGCACAGCTGCGGCAGCAGTGGACTCAGACACCCTAGTGACTATGAGGTGGCCGGCCAGGCTTTGCTCCCTTAGATGTCGGGGTGCCGTGAGATGGGGCCCACTCAGCGGCAATGAGTAACTCTACCACTGTGCTTTGGAGGGAAGCCAGGTTGACAGGAGATGGGCACTATGCTACCTCAGTTCCTCCTTCCTATGGAAAGTGAGAGAAAATACAAATAAACCTGATAGACACACACACACACACACACACACTCAAAGTCACCTCAGGAGTCTGACCCATTAACTGACTTAAACACAACCTAGGAGTGCCACTACTGCAGCCTGACAATTCATTCAGGTTAACACTTGCCAGGTAGGAGTCTGGTCTCTCTATGCCTGCTGTCTGTGGTGTGTGTGTGTGTGTCTGTGTGTAATCATCTTGTTTACAAAACCCAGCCTGCTTTTGGCAGTGGGAGACTATAAGATATGGATTTTGACTCAAAGAATTCACTGTCATTGAGTCAATTCTGTCTTACAGTGATTCTATAGGAGAGGACAGAACTATCCCCTGTGGATTTTCAAGGTTCTAATTCTTGAAAGATAAGGAGTGAAGCCTTACCTTTCTCCCTCAGCATGGCTGGTGGTTTCCAAATGTAACTGCTCATGGTTTTGAACTGTCGACCATGTGAGTCACAGTGCAACACATAATCACAGCGTGTGATTATGTGTGAATCACAGCGCAACACATAACCACTACACCACCAGAGCTACCAGTGAGAACTAGCTGTCAAAGAGTAAGCCCTGACTCAGTGACCCCTGTGGCTCAGAAGAGAATGAGGTATCCTAGGGACTCATTACAGAAGTAGATCATTAAGCCTTTCTTTCCAGGCGCCAGTAGTTGGACCTTCTGGCTCGTTTGCCCCACCACGGGCCGCAGTTGCCAGTTAGCCTTGGGCCCATCCTCACTCATGTGCCCCAGCAGCATGTTTTGTTTGTTTAGCATTGTTCATTGCAGGGGGGAGTGCAAGGCAAGTCCAACGCCTGTTGGTAGTTGAGTGAGTCAATCTAAAGGTCTCTTCCCATGTGGGGCTTGAAAAAGTTCATGGGAAAATTCCATGCTCATCCCTCTAGTTCTATTCTGCCAGGAACATTTTGCAGTCCTCCCTTGTATAACGGGGCACACTTTAGCCATCCCAAGGAAGGGACAGGCCTCTCTTACGCACAGTGATGCCTCTCCTTGAGTGGAAAAACTAAGCAAGTTGCCGACAGGTTTACTATATGAAAACATTTATATAAAACATTCATACTGTCAGGTGCCATACAATCTAAAGGTTTAGACACATGTGTGTGCACGTAGAAATATGAGGACACGTGAGTACATGTCAGGGCTGTGAGTCGGTTGTGACTCACAGAGACCCTGTGTGTGTCAGAGTAGAACATTGCTCCACAGGGTTTTCAATTGGCTGTGCTTTTGGGAAACAGATCGCTAGGCTTTTCTTCCAAGGGCCTCTGGGTAGGTTCAAATCGCCAACCTTTCTGTGAGCAGTCTAGGGCCTTCAGCAGTTCACGCTACCCAGGAATGCAGACCCCACCTATCTTACTGCCAGGGCACTGGCATCGTGACCTGGAGCACAGGAGAGAACTAGTCCATACCATGTTCAAGGCTGCAAATCTGGTTTGTGGTTAAGGAAGCAAAGTTCCTCGTCTTTCTCCCCTGCAACGGCTGCTGGGTGTGAACCACTGACCTCTCAGTTAGCTGCGCAATCCCTAACACACAGTGCTACCTGGTCCTTCAATGCATACACTCCTTGCCATCGAGTTGATTCTGACTCACCACAACCCTATAGGACAGGGAAGAATTGCCCCTGGGGTAACAGTAATTCCTCTGTCTCCCAAGGAGGAACTGGTTTTGAACTGCTGACCTTGCGATTAAAAGCTACGCCACCAGGGAACTCTTTGGGTAGTACTACCAAAAGAAAAAAAAAAAACCCAACTTAGTTAAAATATGAAGTTCCTATCATTGTAACAATAGGTTAAGAAATTTTGCTTTTATGTCTTAAATTTTTTTAAAGCGATGAGGTCAATGTGTTTTGTAATTAAATTAATTTTTTTACACAAGAGTCAGCTATTCTGTCTTGGTTTGCCTGTTTTTGATTAAAACAAGGCATACCTTGTTTTATTGTACTTCCCAGGTAATTGTGTTCTTTCCCACTGGAAGGGTGGGACAACCCTGCAATCAACAAGTCTTGTTGGTGCCATTTTCCTAACAGCATGTGCTCACTTTGTGTCTCTGTGTCCCATCTGGTCATTCTTGCAGTATTTCAAACTTTGTTATCATACCATGTGCGCACTTTATACTATAGTGTTGCATCACTGTGCTTTGTCCTGGGAACGCACACAGAACTTCAGGTGCGATCTGTTTTATTCTGATGACCTGGAGCCAAGCATGTAGTATCTCCCAGGTGGGCCTGAAGGTGCAGTCGAACAACAGGGCTCTATGAGAAAGCCCATACACACTACACTCATGCTCAATAAAGCCAACACGTTATTATGCTGTGGCCGAGAGGGCCTTTGAAATTCAAGTTGTGGCTCTTTGCTGCTCTTCTACCTTCAGAAAGTCATCTTTCTTTAAGCTCAGATGTTCTTGGCAAGGCTTTCTGTGCCCGTGCACTGATTCCACACACGTTTTGGGTGCCTCTTAGGTGGTTGCCACTAGGTCCACAGCCTTGTAGCACAGACCCCGGGATCAAAGAGCTCCTAGGTTAGTGATGAAGGTAGAGAGGTAACCCCATAATCCCAGTTTGGGGTGATGTGAGCTTGCAGAGGGGCTTCCTGGAAGAGGAGGTCGAAGTCAGAGCTACAAATTCCCGTGCTTCCCGTGGCCGCTGTATCAAGGGCCACAGACTAACAAGTTGGGACTCCACTCCGCTCTGCTGTACCGTGGCAGCATGGAACACAAGTTTGCTTTGCTCACATTTCTGATTTTCATAGGATTGTGTGAGTTTGTGGGAAATCTCCCAGTTTGGGTAGGACTTTTTGTTTTTGTTTTAAACACTGAATGGTCCACACAAACACAGGTGCAGAAGGGGCACTTCCTATGCTGTTCATTGTGTCACATCTGGTCCAAGCAAAAGTTAGCCAGCTGAGGAAACAAGCAAAGGAAGCGGCAGGTTCAATGGCCAGACGATCGAGAGGGAGGTGTGTGTGTGTAAGGGGTGTTTGAGTGGGAACAGTACGTGTGATTACATTGTGTGCATATGTGTGTGGTGGGGTGTGGGGTGTCTGGGGTGTGTGAGGCAGTGATGTATGTGAATGTATGTGTATAATACTGAATGCATACAAATATGAAGTGAGTGTGCGATAAAGGTCGTATGCCTGTGATGGGATGGCTGAGGTGTGTGCTTGTGACGTGTGCGTGCTTGGCATCTGGTGTGTGTGAGGACTATGGTGGCTTATATGAAGTGCGTATATGTGGTTTTATGATGTGTGTGTAGTATATAAAGTGTGTATGTCATGTGTGGGGTGGTATTTGTGAGATGTTGTGCATGTACATGGTATCTGGTATGTGATGTTTATGATGTCTTATGGGAGGTAAATATGTGATACCGTGAGTGTGGTATATGCTGTATGTGTGGAGGTGTGAGATGTATGGTGCGCTTATGAGTGTGAGGCACTTGGTGTGGGCATACAATGTGTGAGGTGTTTATATGATGTATGGTATATGTGCGGTGTGAAGTATAGGGCGTGTTTTAGGGAAAGTGTGTGATTTTATATGGTATGCTTATGAGGAGTGTGAGGTATGTCAGATGTGCACAATTCAGGTGTGACTGTGTGGTGTGTAGTCTGTG